CATTGCTCAGGGTTATTGTAATGATTCAACGAGAATGCAAGTGCATATGCAAAAGTAGCTTGCACACTAAAGAGAAATTGCAAAGTATAATTATTTGTTATCAGAAGCACTGTTCCTTCCTGGACCAATAACACTCCAGTGCTGATTCAAAAGTGCTGGGATGCCAGACTTTCCCCGCTTCATTACTTTACCTTCAGGCGAGGGAAATAAGTCTTTACCTTAGCAGTAACCAGAAAGAGGTCACTGTGTGAGACCCATAAACTCACTGCATATTTGCTATTGGAGAACACATAAAAGAGAAGGACCCAGAAGTTGTAAATTCCCCCTTTTGACCTTGGGGTTTTGGAGATTCTCGCAAGAGTAATGCCATTTATTGAGAAGCAGTATAATCACCTGCCTGGGTGTGAATGCTGGCCTCAACCCTTAGTACTTGTGCAATCTATCTACAGACTTAACCTTTCTGTGGTTCATTGTCCCCAGCTGTAAAGTGGTGATAATATTAGGTTGGCGCAAAAGTAATTGCGATTTTTGTCATTAAAAGTAATGGCAAAAACCACAATTGCTTTTGCGTCAACCTAATAACACTACCACCTCCAAGGGTTGTTGAGAGCCTTCCGTGATGTCGCATATGAAAAGTACTTAGTAAAGTACTCGGAGGGCACCTGGTAAGTATTTAATAAATGATGGCGCCGGGCACAGTGGCTCACACCTGTAATCCCAGCACTTTGGGAGGCTGAGGTGGGCGGATCATGAGGTCAGGAGTTCAAGACCAGCCTGGCCAACATGGTGAATCCCCATCTCTACTAAAACTACAAAAATTGGCCAGGCGCACTGATGGGCACCTGTAATCCCAGCTACTCAGTAGTAGCTGAGGCAGGAGAACTGCTTCCCAGGAGGTGGAGGTTGCAGTGAGCCAAGATCGCGCCACTGCACTCCAGCCTGGGCAACAGAGCAAGACTCCATCTTGGAAAAAAAAAATGATGGTTGTATTATTATGAAGCTTTTGCTGTGTGTTAGCCCTGTGCTAAGCAGTTCATATGGGTTAATCTTTACAAAGCCCTCTGAGGTAGAACTGTTCATATTCCCATTTTATGGATGAGGAAACTGAGGCCTGGAGGGATTAATTTGCTCAAAGTTGTAGAATTTGTGGCAGAACCAAGATTTGAACCTTCGTCTCTCTGGAATCTCTGTTGTCTGCTACTAAGTTAGGGTGTCTTGTATACCAGATGGATGTTTCCCTTCTTTCCTTTATATCAGGGGTGTCCAGTATTTTGGCTTCCCTGGGCTGTATTGGAAGAAGGATTGTCTTGGGCCACACATAAAATACATGAACATTAACAACAGCTGATGAGCTAAAGAAAAAAGAAATCGCAAATAATCTCATGTTTTAAGGAAGTTTACGAATTTGTGTTGGGCCGCATTCAAAGCCGTCCCGGGCCATGCAAGTCACAGGTTGGACAAGCTTGCTTTACATGAAAACAGTGAGAAATTGGTAAGGTGGCGGGAGTGGGAGAGATGAGATGTAAAAGGTAAGATTTTAGTTCACCTCTAGAGAAAAATCCTATGAGCACATTAACATATATCCCAAAAGCTGGATAGCTTCATGATCAAAGATGCCTTGCAGAGAGACCTTTTCCATGGTGAATCGCATTAGGTGGAGGGGCTAGAGCCCAGGCCCCTGGAGGCTAAGGGAGCTTGTGGTGCGGCTGGCAGCTTTCAAGGCCAGAGCATAGCAGAGTGTTCTAATTCAACACTTCTTAAAATGAAGGCTGCATTTTGCCACCCACAGTCATTTGTTTTCTTTCTTCACTCACCATTCTTTTCCTTAAAAAGGGTTAAAAGCTGCCTTTATGATCACAGCCAGGACTTGAGTGAAAAGGCAGAATTCCACCTCTGAGGACCCCAAAGGGACAGCAGTTGTCCAGAAGAGCTGGCTTTTTGGAGTATAATGTGTCTGTTTACTGTATGAATGCCCAAGTCAAGCGTTTGCCTGACCGGTGGCTGCCCGTCCTTCACTGCAGCGGATGCTGAGATGTTGATTTGACATGCAGGAAGTCAAGGCCCTTCAACTGCCTGCAACTAACTTGATGCCCACCGATGGAATGCTTTGTTCCTAAAGTCTGCGCGGGGGAACTCAGGACTTCTGTTATCACTCAGCCAAAGGCGGGGGTGGGGCCCTAAAGAAACAAAAGAGCTTAAGGTTCTTCCCTACCAGTAGCCTTTTCATTTGCACGCAGCCCCAGGACTCTTCTACACTTGCTCTATTCTGATACTCCAATTTTTAATATCAAAGCCTTTTGGAAAAATTTAACCCCCACGGCCCCACATCTACACACCCTTGCATCCGCACACCCCAGCCTCCATTATTGAACATCTTTGGTGTGCCAAGGCACGAGGTTAGTTTTTTCCACCTTTATTTTCTTGTCTAATCTTTGTTGCTTTTTTTTTTTTTTTTGAGACAGAGTCTCGCTGTGTTGCCCAGGCTACAGTGCAGTGGCGTGATCTCTGCTCACTGCAACCTCTGCCTCCGGGGTTCAAGCAATTCTTTTGCTTCAGCCTCCCCGGTAGCTGGGACTACAGGCATGCACCACCATGCCCAACTAATTTTTATATTTTTAGTAGAGACAGGTTTTCACCATGTTGGCCAAGCTGGTCTCAAACTCCTGACCTCAAGCCCACCTCAGCCTCCCAAAATGCTAGGATTACAGGTGTGAGCCACCAGGTTCAGCTCCTTGTGGCTTTTTTACAAACAAGAAAACTGAAGCTTAGGGAGCTATGTGACTTGCACAAGGTCACCTGGCTGGTCGATGGAACCCAAGTCTGTCTGCTCCAGGTCCAGTGCATTGTCCTCTGCCCAACCTCCTCCTCCAATTCCCCCCCTCCACCCGCCCCATCTTCCTCTCTGTCCTTATCACACCTTTCATCCTGAACTCCCCTCTGGTACATCCCCACTCCGTACTGTGTGTGGTTAGCAGCATTTCTCAACCTCTATTGATGTTTTGGGCCAGATAATTCTTTATCACAGGGGCCTGTCTGCACGTTATAGAATTTTTTTTTTTTTTTTTTGAGGCAGAGTTTCGCTCCTGTTGCCCAGGCTGGAGAGAAATGGCACGATCTCAGCTTACCGCAACCTCTGCCTCCGGGGTTCAAGTGATTCTCCTGCCTAAGCCTCCCAAGTAGCTGGGATTACAGGTGCCCACCACCACACCTGGCTAATGTTTGTATTTTTAGTAGAGACGGGGGTTTCACCACGTTGGCCATGCTGGTCTTGAACTCCTGACCTCAGGTGATCCGCCCACCTGGGCCTCCCAAAGTGCTGGGATTGCAGGCATGTAATCCTGTATAGAATTATACAGTTATAGAATCTTTAGCAGCATCCCTAGCTTCTACCCACCAGATGTCAGTAAGCACCACCAAGCATGACAACCAAAAATGTCTCCAAACATTGCTAAATGTCCTCCAGGGGACAAAATATCCCCAGTTGAGATCCACTGATTTAGCCTTATCCTTTTTCTCACCATGATACCCCAGGAAGGGGATCTGTGTACTGGGGAGCCCCATCACATGGAGTGGGATTAAACATCTTTGCTGTTCAGTCCAGCTAGAGTTCACCAAAAGGGTGCCTGTAGCTGTGCTGAGCCCGTCATAGTACTGAAGTTCCTCAGGCTGTGTTGTCCAGGATCTGAGTGAGAAAAGCCCTCCTCCCTTCTCAGAGTTCTCAGGCCAGAAAGGATGGAGTGGGGGCGGGAGCAGCTGGGTCTTTTAGTGCTTCCTGGGGAAGAATCCTCTACCCTGCATTTGCAGAGAGACCCGAAGAGACAGGAGCACTGGGCTTGGAGCAAGGCCTTCCTGTGAGGTCTAGAGACACTGCACCTCACAACTGGACCTCACTTGGCTTCCGCAGGAAATCCTGCATCTTTTTTTTTTTTTTTTTTTTGAGACAAGATCTCACTTTGTCACCATGACTGGAGTGCAGTGATGAGATCATGGCTCACTGCAGCCTCAACCTCCTGGGCTCAAGTGATCCTCCCACATCAGGCTCCCAAGTAGCTGAGAGTACAGGCGTCCACCACCATGTCTGGCTAACTTTTGTAAATTTCTTTTCTGTAGAGACGGGGTTTCACCATGTTGCCCAGGCTGGTCTCAAAACTGCTATGCTCAAGGGACCCACCACCTCAGTCTCTCAAAGTGCTGATATTACAGGCGTGAGCCACCGCGCCCAGCCCAATCCCGCATCTTTTCTAGGGCAGCTGATTCCCATAGCATGTGGAGGGAGAGGGCCAGGCCTCAGTTGAGAATCTGGTGAAAGCTGTGATTCCTTACACAGAAACGTACATTATACCTGTAGCATCAGGGATTCACAGATCCCAAAAGCCAGCCAGCCAGCCAGCCATCCATCCATTCATCCATCCATCTGTCTATCCATCTGTCTGTCCATCCATCCATCCATCCATCCATCCATCCATCCATCCTTCGCAGGCTAGGAAGTCCTACCTTATGCTCACACTTACTCTTGGGGTTGAAATGGAGAGGGAAAGTTCTAGAGCTCTCTCCCTGCTTTTGGAGGGCATGGCAGCACACCTTTTTATCCCAGGCCCTGAGCCCTAGACTAGGCCAAGGAATTGTAATGTGAGACAAGGATGTACATCAAGGAGATGAGCTGAGAGAGAAAAGCTGGACCAGGTACAGAGTATAGGAGGAAGGGTGACAATTTCGAGCTGACTCCTTCTCTGTTTCAGCCCAGACTGAGGGCAGGGCCCAGCTGAGGGGAGGAAGAGGAGAAGAAAGGAAGCGGGAGAGATGAGCCATGCACTGCGGCCCCCTCCTTCCCCAGCTGCGAGCAGAGCAGCCCAGCGGGTTGGATGAATGCTGGGAGGGGGGAGAGTGACCCTGGCAGAACCCTTTGTTCCAGCTGAGGCTGGAGCAGGGCACTGAGCCATTCACACGCCATCCCAGGGCATCCTGCTGGGCACGCTGGGGAGGGGGCACAGCAGCCGGTCATGGGACTTGGCCAGGCAGATAGCTCGATGCTCAATAGGGAAGCCCAGCTGCGTGCTGCTGAAGCCGGGGGAGGGGCTGCATCTGCCAGCCTTCCTCAAGGCTGTGGCCTGTGCCACAGACAGGAAGGCCCTGGCAGGTCCCAGTTCCTCTGCCCTGAGGTGGCCTTGGGGACTCATAGCAGCCCACCCTGCTTCCTGCTCCCCTGTGTGGATTCCTTATCTTAAAGAGGCTCCAGCATTTTAATTACACCATTAGTTCTTGCCCTCCCTGGCCAACATCCCAGGGTCTGGTCCAGGACAGAGGCAGAGCATCCGTATCTCAACCTAGTTTTGGTGAGAAGGATATGGAAACCTCTCAACATCACCCCTTCTGTCCCTTGTTCCTTTTCTTCAAGAGCACCAAACCTCTGAGTGGCATTATTTGTTATTTTGGGGTTTTTTTTTTTTTCTTTTTTGAGACAAGGTCTTGCTCTGTTGCACCAGCTGGAGTGCAGTGGTGTGATCATAGCTCACTGCAGCCTTGACCTCCCAGGCTCAAGCAATCCTCCCACCTCAGCCTCCCAAGTAGCTGGGACTACAGGCACGTGCCACTACCCCCAGCTAATTTTTTAGTTTTTTGTAGAAACAAGGTCTCACTATGTTGCCCAGGCTAGTCTCGAACTTCTGGGCTCAATCAATCCTCCAATCTCAGCCCCTCAAAGTGCTGTGATACAGGTATGAGCCACTGTGCCTAGCCTAGGTGGCATCATCTGTCTCTGGGCCCTTAGAGGTGCTATGCAAAAAAGCCCTGTCATAGAGGGGGTCACCTGGACTCTTTGTAAGCCCAGAGTCAGAGGGTATCTTCTGGATTGTTTATGCCCTGGAGTAGGCATGGTTTTACCGCCTGCATCTCCCTTGAAGTGTCACTGTGACTCTCCCGGTGACAGTGCCCCTTAACTAGGCCCCTCTACCTTCCCCTTGGAATGGGCTTTGGTTGAGTGGGAGCTGAGCCCTCACTGATTCCTCTTCCCTCTGCCCAGGCCTGGCCAGCAGCCCCGAGTGTGCTTGTGGTCGGAGCCACTTCACATGTGCAGTGAGTGCTCTTGGCGAGTGTACCTGCATCCCTGCCCAGTGGCAGTGTGATGGAGACAACGACTGCGGGGACCACAGCGATGAGGACGGATGTAGTAAGTACCTCCCCAGAGGCAGTGGGAGGTGGTGGAGAGGGACCCGGGGGTAGGGGGCAAGGACAAGGCTGATGGAGGGTTCTCGGCATCAACTGTATTGGACTCAGAGAGTTGGTCTTTTGCAAGCTTAATAGATACTGACATTTGGGTAGTTTCTTCACTCTATATGGCTCTAACTCTCCTGTGTTTCTTTTTGTTGGTTCATGCATATATGTCCAAGAAAACAAACTTGAAAACAAGTATAAAAGAAGAGAACACACTTGAAACAACAGGGAGTTTCTTCAAATAGGTCTCTCTGTATTTATGTGAATATATGTTTGTGAATAGGTACCGCATATTTGTGCATTTTAAAATTTATATACTATACACAAATAGTGATTATTTCCATGTTTCTTATTTTGGTATTTTGTACAATAAAACCTTCTTTTTTCTTTTTTTTTTTTTTGAGACAGGGTCTCATTCTGTGGCCCAGGCTGGAGTGCAGGGGCGCGATCTTGGCTCACTGCAACCTCCACCTCCCAGGTTCAAGTGATTCTCCTGCCTCAGCCTCCCGAGTAGCTGGGACTACAGGCATGTGCCACCATGCCTGGCTAATTTTATATACTTTTAGTAGAGATGAGGGTTCAACATTTTGGCCAGGCTGTTCTCGAACTCCTGACTTCAATCCAGCCACCTCAGCCTCCCAAAGTGCTGGGATTACAGGCATGAACTACCACACCTGGCCACACCTTTCTTAGTAATATAAACTTTGTAAGAAATCTTGTATTTTCTTAGGCTGGGCACGGTGGCTCACGCCTGTAATCCCAGCACTTTGGGAGGCTTAGGCCGGCGGATCACGAGGTCAGGAAATCGAGACCATCCTGGCTAACACGGTGAAACCCCATCTCTACTAAAAATACAAAACAATTAGCCAGGCGTGGTGGCGGGCGCCTGTAGTCCCATCTACTTGGGAGGCTGAGGCAGGAGAATGACGTGAACCCGGGAGGTGGAGCTTGCAGTGAGCCGAGATTGTGCCATTGCACTCCAGATTGGGCAACAGAGCGAGACTCCGTTTAAAAAAAACGAAGGAATTTTATATTTTCTTTAAATGTCCCTTTTCCCCTAGCATGGTAACATCTGCACAGTTGGCCAGGGTGACCTGTCTTGGATATATAGAAATATCCCTGCTAAGCCAGTTGTCTGGATTAGAGGTGCAATCTCTGACCTAATTGTGACATCTATGTCTGAGGCTGGCTAATTGGTCTAATGGGAACGGAGGTACAACCTGGACCTCATTAACCCTAACCAGTTCAGCTAATTGTGTTGATGATAAATGCTTCACTTTCATGTAGCATTTTCATAGGCATTATATCAAAAGGCCTCTATGAACTGGGTATAATTATCCCCATTGTACAGCCAAAAAGACGTCAGCTCAGAGAGGGTAAATGACTTGCTCAGAGTGCTACGTAATTAACTGGAAATTGAGCCCAGGTGTGTCAATCATTTAACAAGACGAAAAGAGGGGAAAAAAGCACTTCTTTCTCTTGCTCATGTTTTTCTTATGCTTTCTTAGTGCCTGTGAGTTCTTTGGGTTATTCTTCTTCCCCTGCCCTGTGAACCCTTCACCACAATTCCCTTCTGAATCTCTTAGCTGTAGTTTCTGCTAAGCTTCTCCATCAGCTGGGGATGAGCCTAGGAGTCAGTAAGGAAGGACTATAAAACAGACAAGGGGGCTGGGCGTGGTGGCTCACACCTGTAATCCTAACATGTTGGGAGGCCGAGGCAGGTGGATCTCTTGAGTCCAGGAGTTCGAGACCAGCCTGGCCAACATGGCAAAAACCTGTCTCTACTAAAAATCCAAAAAAATTTTTAAAATTAAAAAAAAGCCAGGCGTGGTGGTGGGCACCTGTAATACCAGCTACTCGGGAGGCTGAGGCATGAGAATTCCTTGAACCCAGGAGGTGGAGG